ACTTTACTATAGTTTATATAGGGAAATCACATTTTGGACCAACATTTGTTTAATTTCCATTGGAAGTAATTCAATTTGGGTTAGCATTATCAGTATTAGGTAGCAGATTGATAGTATGTATAAATGTATAAATATATCAGGTGACCGTTAAAGCCCATGGGCCTCTTGTTGCTTCTAGTTGCTTAGCTCAAGATGTACAGGTATTCTCCAAGCTGTGTATGTGTGTTTGAGGTTTAACGTCCTCGCAACAGCCGGGGTCATATGAGGATGGGTGCCCAGGGAGACGCAACAGCCAGGGTCGTATGAGGACGGGTGTCTAGGGAGATACAACAGCCGGGGTCATATGAGGACGGGTGTCTAGGGAGATACAACAGCCGGGGTCATAATTATGAGGATGGGTGCCTAGGGAGACACAACAGCCCGGTCATATGAGTACGGGTGCCTAGGGAGACGCAACAGATGGGGTCATATTAGGACGGGTACCTAGGGAAACACAACAGCCGGGTCATATGAGGACGGGTGCCTAGGGAAACACAACGGCCAGGGTCATATGAGGACGGGTGCCTAGGGAGACACAACAGCCGGGTCATATGAGGACAGGAGCCTAGGGAGACACAACAGCCGGGGCATATGAGGACGGGGGCCTAGGGAGACACAACAGCCGGGGCATATGAGGACGGGGGCCTAGGGAGACACAACAGCCGGGTCATATGAGGACGGGTGCCTAGGGAGACAAACAGCCGGGGTCATATGAGGACGGGTGCCTAGGGAGACACAACAGCCGGGGTCATATGAGGACGGGTGCCTAGGGAAACACAACAGCCGGGGTCATATGAGAGCGGGTGCCTAGGGAGACACAACAGCCAGGGTCATATGAGGACGGGGGCCTAGGGAAACACAACAGCCGGGGTCATATGAGGACGGGTGCCTAGGGAGACACAACAGCTGGGTCATATGAGGACGGGTGCCTAGGTAGACACAACAGCCGGGTCATATGAGGATGGGTGCCTAGGGAGACACAACAGCCGGGTCATATGAGGACGGGTGCCTAGGGAGACACAACAGCCGGGGTCATATGAGGACAGGTGCCTAGGGAGACACAACAGCCGGGGTCATATGAGGACGGGTGCTTAGGGAAACACAACAGCCGGGTCATATGAGGACATGGCTGTTGTGTTTGGGAAATAAAGCCGGAAAGAGAAAGTAGATAGGAAACGAAAAGGTCCCTAGTGATGCAAGGGGCAGCAGATCAATTTTGGCACAGGCTCTGCATAAGTCGCTTCCTAAAGATACACATGCAGTGGGACACAGCAGGCATATTATTATTCTTGGTTCCTTCAGTGACAATTAAACAAGACAAGGAAGAAACTATCACCAATTCTAAGGGGGGGGGGGGGCACATTAGTCCATCTTGGATCATGTCGTTTGATGCAGCAGGCCTATGCTTCCTGCAAATCAGCACAGGTGTGTATGTATGTACAGACTGGATTACTGGTCAAGATATAAAGACAAAAGTAAACAATACGAAAAATAGCTAAGAAAGGACATTTATTACATATACTTTTTTTCCTATATGAAAGATGCATTAACATATGTATCACAGGACTCAACTGTATACAGTAAAAAAAAAATAACTTAATGTGAATACTGAAATATATTGAGCAAACTCTTGATAAAAGTAGCCAAAATAATACTTTACATAAATAAATATAACAATAAACATATAAAGTACTAATACTGATTGGAACGATTACAAAAGCGAACTGTACAGACCCCTTCTTCCTCTTCAATAATATAAGTCTCGACTGATGTAAGGAATTTACAAAACTCACTGTAGACGGTGAATCTATACTTGAAAGTTCATTCTTTGAGTGTACGAGAGCATGACATAAAATGTCTTCCGTACAGTTTCTTTCCATGGTTTATGCTGTTGTGATGACCGATAAAACGAATATAAAAATAGCAACAAGCGATGAGTAGGACGATGTGTGAGATGTGGTACGGAGGCTGCGTCATCACCTCATTACGCACCAGTTATTTTGTTCCAGCCCTTGTCTCGTTTCCAGACCGTACGCCGACGTGCCTGAAAGGGAAAATGGTGAAATCACTTTAATCACTTACATAAAATATCCTATTGGTTTGTTCTAAAGCATCACGGTAATTATTCATAAAAAATGCTCATGTTAGTGAACGCTCATCAAAATTTAAAAGTAACAGTTTTAAAAATGTTTAGAGTTTTAATCAATTAACCGGTTAAATCGAGTTCATATGGGAGCGTAGCGTGTATGAGGATATTTAATCAATTTATTTCAATATATTTAAAGTAGGTTGACGTTATTTTTAACTTAAAAAAAAAATCTAGTGTCTAGCGGACATAAACATCACCCCTCTTTTATTTTAACTGTGGTGCATGTTGTATTTTGTTTTAAGAGATTATAATGTATAACTGTAAATGGCAATACAAATATTTCATTAGTGTAATTAAAGATGTGAGCATGATTTTAATATAACCCAAAATGCGAACATCAAACAGCGTTCTTAATTGATTGGTCGTCAGTTCACTTTTAATACGTAAAATGGTTGCTGGATTGTGCACTGGACATTTCGTGGAGGTTAATACACAATCGTGGGGGTTAATGGGTTGTTAGATTGGCTGACAAAAAAATAACAAAAATTGTTAAAACTGTGCTCATCATGTGCAACTCGAGCAAAAGTAAATGCATGACATTTACATGAAAAATCTACGAGCATTCCATCAGTGACGGTGAAATGATGAGTCTGCTTATAGAACGCTAGGAAATGTGTCGATTTAAGTAGAAATAGAGTACACCGAACACTTAAGACTTTTACAGACCAGCAGTGTTGGGTTTCAACATTTTAAAGGCTAAAGGGGGGGGGGGGGGTTTTCCCCTATGTAACTTNATATACTGGACCGATCCGGAATGAAGTGTTACTGGGATTATTGAAACACCCGATCACTGCTTACGATACAAAGTGTTCGCAGTATTTTCAAATATTTCTAATATATTCAAGGGTTTTCAATTATTACACATTTCCAAGCGTTCTCTGTAATATAATGCTCGATTTACCAGTAAGATAATCCTCGGAAAAGGCGTTTAGCTACATATTATAAATCTAGTTCCTACGAACTTTTCTATTTTACTGAAGCGAATCGAGCTATATATTATATTCTTTCATCACAATTTCGTTCAAGCCAGAGTAAAAAAATACAAATGTAATATATATATAATGCGGGCAAAACCAATCTAAACGTAAATGCCGTTTTTGCCGTTATACCTGTACTCGTTCAATCTCTGATACCATCGGGGTCAAAGGCAGGCAAAACTATAGAGAAACAGGTTACTTTAATGGTACTCAAACAAACCCAATCACGTGGTATTAATTCTCATCAATATCGGTGGTGCAATTGAGTCATGAATTTTGTCAATGAATTGAATGAATGTAGACAATATATATAGATCTATATAGATTTAAGGAAAGTGTTTTTTTCAAGTTCATATAGCACAGCCCGTGAAAAGTTTTTGCGTGACGCTTCGATGACTGGTACGATATGAACCTGTATAGAACCAGAAAAGTGGATACCCACACTCGCAATGGAGCTATTTATGTAACCCAAGCTTGTACTTTAACATTAATATTGAACCTGTGCAATCTGACAGGCTGTCTACTCCGGACAGAAATGGTGACTCGGATGAAGTTTGACAGTTAACAAGACTTTGTTTAAATTTCCGAAATCACAATACAATACATTATTCCGGAGGCTGACCTGTATGATCTTATCCTTGAGGCTGACCTAAAGGATCTTATCCTGGAGGCTGACCTGTATTATATGATCTTATCCTGGAGATTGACCTATATGATCTTATCCCGTAGGCTGACCTAAAGGATCTTATCCTGGAGGCTGACCTATACGATCTTATCCTTGAGGCTGACCTGAAGGATCTTATCCTGGAGGCTGACCTGAAGGATCTTATCCTTGAGGCTGACCTGAAGGAGCTTATCATGGAGGCTGACCTATACGATCTTATTCTGAAGGCTGACCTGAAGGATTTTATCCTGGAGGCTGACCTGAAGGATCTTATCCTTGAGGCTGACCTGAAGGATCTTATCATGGAGGCTGACCTATACGATCTTATTCTGAAGGCTGACCTGAAGGATCTTATCCCGGAGGCAGACCTGAAGGATGATGGCTCATCATTTTCAACTCTAGTTTTGATATAAGTATGCAGACCTTCGACTAAAATAATAAATAATTTACGAAGGAAATTCAAGTTCTTCAGTAAATGTGTCATAAAAACACAATATATCAGTTGATTTTCAAGTCAAATTTGCATTCAACAAAAATAAATCACGGTGTGCATGCTTCCTTGGGATCAAAGTATATTTTCTCTTCCAAAATGGCACATGCATAAGTGCATAAGATCTTTACCTTTGGACAAGCAAAGCAAAAAATAAACACAAAACCAGTACAACAGGCTGTATTTTCAATGGAATATGTGGTGATAGTTTTCTTGTCTGCATTTATTAAGACATTTTCGAAATTCCATAGGTAACGCTTACTTACGCAAACCGCTGAATAATTCGAGAATGGTATCAATATCAATATCAGAAAGTTACTTTGGAAATGATGAGCCAGTATCCTTAACTTTAATATACTTAACTAACACACAACGACAGTAACAACAAAGCAGGTACCTACGTGCTACGGTACGCGATGTATTAGAGTACCATACAATATACGTAGTATATCAATCAATCAGTATAATGTCCAGATTATAAGTCATTCAAATACAAAATCATGCATGCTCATTATAATATAAAATTGATTTAAAACACAACACTATCCAGAGACACGAGTGTACAAATTACAGGCGACTGAATACAAGTTCATTTTTTGAATAGTCATTAGATATATAAAAAAACCAGATTGAACATTGAATAAGGCGACATTCTTTAATCTAAAGAAACTGTTGAATTAGAAACGGAAATAAAAAAAACTTTGTATGAAATTCCTGTTTAAGGGTTTGAAATTTTCGATATTTTTCTACCAAACTTAGACATCTACTTCCCAAACTTTACAACATTCAGTAAACACGTAGGTACACATTTTATGAAGGCATTTTTACAACTAAAATGTCATGGAAGGTGCTGAAAGCGTTTACACAATTTAAGGTAAACGTATGGTAGCTACATATCAAATAAGAACAGTTAATTAAAGGAAGAACGCACACTTCAATTAACTATAACCATGCGCTAGTAATTACTGACACGATTTATTACCATTTATTCTGTTGGACGCATTCTTCTCTCTGTGCATGCTTGTCATGCCACCACTTCCGATCCCATGCAGGCGCGCATTGGCGCCGTCGACCCTCGGGACCACGTTTTGCACCAAATGACCCCCGGGAACGATGTCCATATTTATTGTGTCTTCGTTTCGTCTTTGACCTAATACGGAATATATGACGTTAAGGTAGTTCAAATTATCATAAACGGTATATATATTAAGTGACTTCAACGCATTTGAAAATCTTTAATAAGTTTATTAAGAACTTTCCAACAAAAATTGCAAAAGGATAGCTGCTCTAATAAGGAAACTGAGTATAAGTGTATGAAACGACAATTCTTGGTAGAGATTGGCATCCTCACGGCGAAATTCAAGGGTCCCACTCTCGACACACAGAGACCGTAAGTGAGCTAACCGCTGGTATTTCTAGGATGATGGTCATATGACGTATTCGTACGGGTAGACTAATAGCAAAAATTAATAAATAAGTGTATATTTTTAAATATAGAAAGATAATCATTTTCGCGAAATGAATTATTCAATCTATTTACCAGGAACATCCTTTACTTAAAAGCGCCTGATATTCTTTTAGTAGCTGTCAAGAGCCTGTGATTTACTAAGTCAAAACATACCGTCGACGAAGACGATCCTGGCTCCTCCTGCCTGTAACACTTCCTTTACGTGACGCCAACTACCTCCGGCCCGACCCATACGTAGCCTGCAATGGAAAGGCAACAATTGTTTAGTAAAATGTTCACGGACCAAAATGCATTTCTTGTAACATTATGATAACAGCGCACCACCAAATCGCGTCATGTTCGATGGAGTATCGTTAATCCGCACTTCAATAACACTTCCCGAATATTCCTGAATTTTAAACAAATTCCCGATCTATCAAACTAGCAAATTGATTTGACTTGACTTCAACCTTTTTGATATAAATACATGTGCCGTTAACCAGGGCTCAGTATCTACGAATCAGTCGTACCTGGGGGGTCCAAAGTTTGGGTGACTTTTGTTTGGCCATTGTTTACTGATGGCACGAAACGCCTTGTGGAAATCATCGTAGCCTGCATCCTCGGCAAACCGCATGTGGGGCGGTGCTCCCTCCTCTATCTACAAAACACAGACAATAGGTGAGATACAGAGGTCAAGGTCAGTTAACCAGGGCGGTGCGCCCTCCTCTATCTACAACACACAGACAATAGGTGAAATACAGCGGTCAAGGTCAGTTAACCAGTGCGGTGCTCCCTCCTCTATCTACAACACACAGACAATAGGTGAGATACAGCGGTCAAGGTCAGTTAACCAGGGCGGTAATCTCTCTCCTTTATCTACAACACACAGACAATAGGTAAGATACAGCGGTCAAGGTCAGTTAACCTGTGCGGTGCTCCCTCCTCTATCTACAACACACAGACAATAGGTGAGATACAGCGGTCAAGGTCAGTTAACCAGGGCGGTAATCCCTCCTCTATCTACAACACACAGACAATAGTCGAGATACAGCGGTCAAGGTCAGTTAACCAGGGCGGTAATCCCTCCTTTATCTACAACACACAGACAAAAGGTGAGATACAGAGGTCAAGGTCAGTTAACCAGGACGGTGCTCCCTCCTCTATCTACAACACACAGACAATAGTTGAGATACAGCGGTCAAGGTCAGTTAACCAGGGCGGTGCTCCCTCCTCTATCTACAACGCACAGAAAAAAGGTGATATACAGAGGTCAAGGTCAAGGTCAGTTAACCAGGACGGTGCTCCCTCCTCTATCTAAAAAACATATGTAAAATACAGAGGTCAAGGTCAGTTAACAAGGGCGGTGCTCCTTCCTCTATCTACAACACACAGGCACTAGGTGATATACAGAGAGAGTTCAAGGTCAATTAATCTGGGCGGTAGTCATTTTATCTACAACACATGGCAATCTGGTCAAATACAGAGGTCAAGGTTAATAACTTAGTCGAATATCGTGTGTGGGGCGTTGCTCCCTCCTCTATATACAGCACACTGTGCAAATGTCAAATATACAGAGGTCGAGGTCAGTTATCTAGTAAAAAAAAACTGTGTGGGAGGCGGTACTCTCCCCTCTATCAGGATATTGGTCAAATGCATAGAGGTCAAGATCGGTTACAAGGCCACACCATAGTCTTGACAGACCAATCACACAATAAGGTTATACAGGGCAACACTTTATGTCATACAGTGGTTTACTGACCCATCGACACAATAACGTACGTCACATAGGGACACATGGTAGACTAAACGGCTCATCAACACATTGTAGTAACTGACACATCAATTCTACAGGGACCCTACATTAGTCGCATTAAACGATCATGAAGTGAGTTTACAGCAGGCGTATTATTTTCACAACCCAGCACATTTGTACATTCAATAGTATTTATATCAGTGAAGAACTTGTATTGTACAGAGGCGTGCGTAACTGATAATAATAACTCTAAAAGTACTTCGGCTCGATCACGGGTATTGTGGTTTTGATATGCTAGATCAGCAGATTTTTATACCGGGTTATACATTTTTGTGTTTCCCCTGACATTGACCAGGCCCTGACGGTTGCTTTGTGTATACCCGGGGTCTGCGTACACACCAGACCAAATGCTTTGTTGTGGGGAGGTGTCGGGTAGCCGACAATACCGACGGTTAGGGTATAGAATATACATTTGTGTGGCGTTTAAATATAACCACGTTATAACATCCTTTGTGTCAGTGAACCGTGTCAAAATCGAGTCACAGCGATCTATTTTTCATTCCGTCAACAGTTCCATGCACACGTTGTTGTCCCTTGATTGACAGGTTCTGATATTAATATCAACTGGTTCGGAGGGGGGGGGGGTAGTCTTTGTATATCCCATCGTTCTTATAAATTAAACAAACAAATAATCAAATACTCCTCTCCTCTAAAAGAGAAGAAAAAGGAAAGATCCACCAATTGGTGTCCGACCAAAAGGATAGGACCGCCTGTTTGACCTGTGTTGTGTTCAATTGTGTTGAAAAAACACGTGGTCGGGTGATGCAGTGGTAAGCGCATTCGCTACTCGCCCTTTGCCAAGACGGCCGGGATTCGATCTGATGTCAAACGTATCGGGTCGACTACCCGACCACGTAGTTTTCTCCGGTATTCCGATTTCTTTCCTCATTCCATTTTTTTTATTTATTTTTTGTTAATTGGTTTTACACATACTAAGTATGATATCAAAATGAAAAGTTGAACCGAAATGACCTCGCAGGGGTTTTAATTCCCTGTGATCCCCTTTGAAATGATCTCCATGTGACAACAATTTGGAGTGATACTTACAGCGGCGGCCTGTGCATAGCCCCGGGGAGACGACTGGTCCATGTAGGGGTTCTGTGAGCGCGCCACTTTCTTGCCATACACGGCACTTTGGATTTCCATGTCGGCACGTGTCCCTCTAGTGGGCTGGGCCATCCATTGCGACATTAGTGCATAGTTTGTCCTGAAAACGAGAAAACTAAAGTTTTAATGGAAAAACCTACAAAATGTATGTCTCATACGAAGATACTTGATATCACTTCCGAAAAAAACGTATAAGGTCTGAAATCCAACAATATTGTCTTAGATGAAGTTTGCCTTTGGGTGCTCTTCGAAAACATTGACTTGTAGCAACGATTTCTAGTACAGAAGAAGTTAACATCTTTTTTTATCTTTTTTTTTTTTAATTCCGCGATCTTTTGCTAGAATGTTCGCAACCGTATCTGCTTGTTTTTCTTTTACATGACATACAGAGCAAAATGTTATATGAGAACAGAAAACAGAATGTCTAATAACATTATACGGTACAGAGCTCACAGAAGTCGAAAACACATAGCGCAGGCGGAACAATACCCTTCCATAGATACAACGCCAAGAACGACCAAGAACGACAGAAGGACCGAAGTTATAATTCGGGACAGGGACTACCTTACGGTGGCCGATATACGTCCATGGTAAAGATGGGGCCCATGGTATAATATGGGCGGAAAGAAGTAAAATCGCATTTTACTGGATAGAACACACAACATAGATCTAGAGATGTCAATAACCTGCCATGTGTGCCAAGACTTTGCTCCGTTGCGACATGTTCATTTTTTTCTGGACTCAAAACTAAGTGATAACATATTATAGAATCAAAATAACACAACTAATATTGGTAATTTTATGGAAAAGTAAAACCTGGATTAACATTGATGGTCGATATTCCAGACCTGAAATTTAAGAGGTAGTTAAAATTGGCTTTGACAAATATACGACAATTCTCAAAGACAACAATGGTCCGAAAGTTTTGAAGATTATGTCAAAATTGAAAAAAAAGATGGAAAGCGTATAAATATTCTGTTAAAAAAAAGTGGTTCCCGTGAACATTATAGTACGGAAAACGGGTTTAGGTTCATTTTAACAAAGATAAGCGGATTTGGTAAAGGCCTACATGCATATTAAACGGATTGATTGTCTCTTTGTACGTTACCTACCTTCACAAACAATACAGTCGTACTCTGTATATTTTATCTCCCCCCCTATCCCCAGGTTGTATGAGTTATTTAGATGCGTGTCTTCTTGCAACAATTCGTCACGTCCCAAAACAAAGCAATCACTCAGCTACGCGACAATAGGGTGACGTCACAATCTAGAATCTCAGCAACTCGCGAGATTGGACGTGATGACACGTTATCTGATTGTTGGTATGCACGGCGTAGTTTGACGTGCCCTGCTTAATGAAGGGTCTGATATTTGTGTAAATTGATTGATTAGAGCTATATAACTTTGATTTAATTGTTCAGCGTTGCAATTGTCGTTTCATACAAAATTATCCACGCGGAAACCTCGCTTTTAAGACACTCTATTCAGGCACCACGCGGAACTAATCACATGCACAGGGACCTTAAAATTTGTTACAGCTATATTTGGACCTAATCTAAGGTGTTCAGAGTAATTTTACATGTTTAAGGGGTTTATATCGACTTTCGGTTGAAATGCCACCCAATGATTATAATAATTGTTTTAGGGGTTTAGATCGACTGTTGGTGAAATGCCACCCCCAATATTACTCTGAACACCTTGCTTTAGGTAAAAATATAGTTGGAACAAATTATCAGGTCCCTATGATCACATGAACTGATTTAAAAAAAAAAAGGTAACCTTATTCAATTTACAACATTTATGATACAAGCTACTGCAATCACTCTTGTTGGCCCGGATGTCAGCACACACCGTCACACGAGATCTTGATGTGGAATGAAACCGGAGTTACCGGAAGAAAGCCTACGTGATCGGGAATATATATTATTTCACGTCCGATCGGGGATTCGAACCCTGGCCTTCGTCTTGAAATGGCAAGTTCGCTATCCACTGCGTACTAGACAACTCAACTGATTGATATAACAGGGGTATGAGATATACATCTAATCCTTAATTTTCTAATTCCAGGCTATTTCGGACATCAAATACATTGCAAACTCGTCCTTGCTATCTATTATCCCAAACCAAGATGTAGCTCTTGATAATCTAACTGGAAACCGTCATATGCTTGTAATTCGAACGATCGACGGTAACATGTGTATTTCCCGTTACCACACGTTTTTATTCTTAACTATTTACTTTTTAAGTAGAGTTTCAAATTTCGAAACCTTGTTGTCTTTGCACAGCTGATCGCGGTCCTATACTAGTGGTGCTACTTTTGGATTATTCAACTTTTTTTTTTTTTTTAAATATTCCAACAAGCTGGACATAAGAGCACGATACTAATATGATAACAATGTAAGATTTATATTGGAACGTGGTACAAAAAATATAAGATAATACATTGGAACGTAGTACTGATATAATATTTATATAAGAACGTGGTACTGATATAATATTTATATAGGAACGTGGTACTGATATAATATTTATAAAGGAACGTGGTACTGATATAAGATTTATATAGGAACGTGGTACTGATATAATATTTATAAAGGAACGTGGTATTGATATAAGATTTATATAGGAACGTGGTACAAATATAAGATAATACATTGGAACTTGGTACTGATATAATATTTATATAGGAACGTGGTACTGATATAAGATTTATGTATGAACGTGGTACTTATGTAAGATGTATATAGGAACGTGGTACTGGTACTAATATCAGATTTACAGGAACGTGGTACCGATATATGATTTATATAGGAATGTGGTATTGATATAATATCTATATAGGAACGTGGTACTGATGTAAGATTTATATAGGAACGTGGTACTGGTATACTATTTTGATATGAACGTGGTACTAATATAATATTTATATAGGAACGTGGTACTGATATAATATTTATATTGAAACGTGGTACTGATATAATATTTATATAGAAACGTGGTACTGATATAAGATTTATATTGGAACGTGGTACTGATATATTATTTATATATGAACGTGGTAATGATATAATATTTATATAGGAACGTTGGGCTGATATTATATCTATATAGGAACTTCGTACTGATGTAAGCTTTATAAAGGAACGTGGTACTGATATTAAATTTATATAGGAACGTAATACTGATGTAAGATTTATATAGGAACGTGGTACTGATGTAAGATTAATGTACGAACGTGGTACTGATGTAAGATTAATATAGGAACGTAGTACTGATGTAAGATTTATTAATGAACGTGGTACTGATATAATATTTATACATGAACGTGGTACTAATATTAAATTTATATAGGAAAGTGGTACTGATGTAAGATGTATATTGGAACGTGGTACTGATAAAAGATTTGCACAGGAACGTGGAACTGATATAAGATTTACATAAGAACGTACGTCTGATATCAGATTTACAATGAGATGAGGTACAAGAATAAGATGTGTCGGGTGAACTTTGTTTAACCTACCACGATATAAAGCCCAGTTATACTACACATTGTCTCACTATTAATCGGCCACAGATCAGATTATAACTTGACATGACCTATACAGGTTTTAGTTAAGATTAACACTAAGTCGATACTGTCCCAAGGTTTATTTATATTAAGACCATATGGGACCCGGTTAGGCCAGTTAAACGATATCCCAGTTGTCGCAAATAATCAAAATAAAGTCAGTTGTCGTTTTTCTGTGTATCAACATGCTTTCCTTATATCGTGTTCTAAACGTTAATTGAACTCAATGTTTTATGGTGGTATGGTAATTCTGAAAATAATATTCATAACTTAGGAGTCAAAAGTCTATCAACAAATTGGCCAATGCGTTACAGTTTATTTGCCGTCATGGCCACAAAAAGACAGAACACAGGATACTCGTATAACGTACGGTCTGGCCAGTGGTAAAACCGAGTCCTGTAATGATTAACACTATAACCAATCAAACTCGTCCGGATGTAATTATACAGGGACGGGGAATAGACCTGGGGGTAGGTGATATTTGGTAGGGGGTCTGAGTAGGAGTTACGGACTATTGGGGGTCGGGTATAGCGGGTTGGTTCATCTGTATATGTAACAAGTAACTTTGGACAATATTATCAGATGGTAACACATGTACAGGGACTTGGGAACAAATTACAGGTGGTATGTTCGGCCCTATACTAATGTGTAGAGATTCATTAAAATATTGGATATTTTAGTAGTTTGGATCAACACTCGGTAAACACGCATTAACCACCATTAAGGATGGTTCAGATATAAACCACTAAAACGTCAAATATTATATTCACCCCCTACACATCAGGATAGTGCCACACATAGATAACGTACATTGTTCTCTGGCCCCTGTGACCGGTAGTACTAGTGTCCTTCCATAATGCCGTTAATGATTTCATTAGATTTCACACGGATAAGTCTACCTAGACGCCGTGCCATCCGGCCTATATTACAAGTAGCTATAGACACGGGTCAATGACAGGCACCCTGCACATACTAGCAACCTTACACGTATAGATACACAATTTGGCAAAAAAATTGCAGATTTAATAACGATTCACCTATCAGCGCCTTTGCTAGACCAAAAGTTTATCTGGACTCTTTAAAACAATCAAATTGAGGCATCCTAATTTAAAACATGTAGATAGTTGGCAGCATTGAAGTTTTATCTGCCAAAATTCTACCCCTGCATACTGAAGAAGTTGGCGTTTGTTTTGTGGACACCGAATAGTACACGATTGTTTGTTGAGAACCCGACTTCATTTTTCAGTATATAATGTAAATGGACGTACGTAGCAGTTCTAACAGTGATGTCCTTTTAGATAGATAACGCTATCGTGTCGTTAGTCTGTGCTTCCTTTCACTTTTATTATATCTCATAAACGCCAGGGGACTGCTCAAGGAACGCTTGTAAAAGGCAATACCGCTAGGTGTATCTTTAGGATTAGAAAAAGTCTACAGACAAACGGTCTAATCTCAAAGCATAAATTACTACCTACTTTCGCGGTACCTGTAATTGCAGTAGTGAACTCGCGATCATTCAAACCTTATTATTGTTCGAATTCTTGCTCGTGAATAAAGATCAAGTTTACACTTATGAATGACAACCAATCATATCGGAGCTCTATTGTATGTGTTTTGAAGGATATTTATTTTAAAAAAATATATACGAAATTGAGTTTACTGATCTACCGATCTAGGTAAGACTGTCTCTGAGGCTAGGGTTCTTAAATTTATTACACTATTGTGTATTCGTGATACCGTCCCCACGGTATAAGTACCGCGTCAGGCTAGCTGAATATGTCGGAGTTTTAATTCAATGTGTATCAATTATAAACACTTCATTAAGATGTGTGTATGGAACTTTAAAGTACGTTATATTCGTTAGTGTATAAAACTATGTGGAGTATTTTGACACGAACATCATGTAAATCAATCTTCACTAAAACCTTGATATACACTGTATATATAATGTCTGGCCAATAAGTCAATTTATATATATTACGTACCACTTGTACAACGCTCAATGTCAATGAATAATTTAATACACACGTATCGGGATTATAGCGTTATGATAAATGGGGGGCTTACAACAGCAACTATGGTATTTATTTGCGTACTCGGAGACATTCTAAAGCGTTATTTTACTAGTATTGATTTTTAAAATTAAAACGTACATTGACGTTATCGCTTGTAAAATTGTTTTCAGTGCAGTTTTGAAATATGGCGATCTTGGTTATTTATAAACCTACACAGGTAATCTTACCTGGATAGAACCTACATCAGCAGTAGCATTAATGAGACACAAGATAATATATTACCTGGATTGTTCTCACAAAGGTGTGCTATTGGTTGTAAGTATTATACTGGATAGATAATAAAAGGCAGGGGATAAATAATAAAACACTCTCGCTTCATATATAACATGTATGCATGTATATGTCAAGAAATTATAAAGGTCTACTTACCTGAAACGGTTGTCAGGACGGCTGGGTCTGTAGGTAAATTTCTTAAAATCCATCGACATTTTGGTTGAGTTTATAGTTCCCTTTTAGAGTTTATAAGACTAGATTTGATATTGCTGTTTTACAAGTGTCTGGCGTTATTTTCTGTTAAATAAACACTCAAATTGATATGTGTCATACTCCCGCGAGTGTCAGCTCCATATCTCAGATGTTTCCAGGTATTAGTTAATAATTGCAGGTTTGAAATTAATTAGCAGCACGTGGAAAGTGTCTAATATCGTTTTACATTGTTGTTACACCTGCCACTTTCTCCGTCAGACTTCCGAGACTACCCGAAATAAGTCCCTACCAACCAAAGGCAGTGTCCTCAGAAGCATTAACGACACTGGCAGATTGGGGGCGATAAGCAAACGTTTAATCGACTAAGCTGGCGTTATAAAGGTATATTATTGTGCTGGATCACAGGTATATATACCTCATATTGTACACCTATATATGTATATCACAGTCAACTTATTATACCGGAACAAAGGAGTGGACGGTCACATGTACACGTCTGGATCAACTCCTCCAGTCAGGCGCAAAATGTGACATACATAATACCTATAACTTATACAGGGGTATATTTTACGAACGGTATTCATGAAATCCAATATGGAATTATATAAAGAAGAAGAAGAAGAAGGTTAACTTTCAGTCACAAAGAATTAAACTTTATGAAAGAAAGATATGTACGTAGAGAGGGAAATGCGGTGCCAGACCGGGAATTCGAACCCGGGACCACAAATCTCTATTGACGCTCTAACGAATAGAGCGACCTGGTCGCCGACGATCGACCGAGTCCAGTTCCATTACAGAAAAATACAACCTGCATTAGCATGTTTAAAGTCTGTCTACGATGAGCCACATCTATAACTAAAATAAATAGATCGAAAACTAATAACTTAATGAGGATGACATTGTTCCACCATTGTTTATAATTAAATCAATATGTTATAGGTACGGGAAGTATCACGTGAAATTAATGATGACTGTAATATTTGAGTAGTTTTTCATCATGTAAAATTAATACACCATCAAAACCTTCGATATTAAATTAAGCGTATTCGAATGGTATCATGGCCATTTCGTGTCTATCTGAGGTGAGTCTGGCGTATCCGTTTCGTGTCTATCTGAGGTGAGTCTGGCGTATCCATTTGGTGTGGTGTACTTCCTTAAATGCTTCAACCATACAACATTTAGCCAACATTTCAAACTTTGTGTATACGGTAATATCTCCTTTGACTGTGGCTTTAAGTTAAATCATTACGACGTCAAGTAGATACTTGTATATATAAATGTGTGTCGTGATCCTTTGACAGTTGATTTTTATTATTATTTGAGGGTTCTGATGAATGTATTTCACTCTGAACCATTTAAGGTTTGTATAAATGGTATTGCTCAACGATCACCCCGCTAAATAAACATTAAGCTGTATGTTTGCCCGAGCAAATACCTTATAAAAGCGCAAACATTAGAAATTATTTATTTTCAATGACATCAGCATGCACCTGTAAAATTCTCCGTCGGCAAGCATACCGTCTTTTCCGCCCTAGCTTGTACATGTATTTTGTAACTTGCGTAAACTCTATCTCCGAAATAGTTATGATAGGTACTAGGAGTGTAGCGGTTTTCTTGTTCTTGATTAATTTCGTTTTCAAACGTCATTCTATAATTTTTGTGCACTTCCCAAAGTTTTCACTTTATCGTAAGTTACTTTAAGGAGACTGGTTCAAGAAACGATGACGTTTTTGGCTTGATACTAGCTATAAACTAGGTTTAATTTATTCCAACATGTTGTAAAGATGTCTTAATTTCAGGTTGAATTGAAATGAGTTGTATTTAAACAAGTCTTCATAAGATCCGATGTTGAAGTAGGTAGGGCGCAACCGTTTCTTCAAGTACAAATCAAGCAAAACACATTCCACGGTCTTCTTGTAAGGGCGACGATGGTTCCAGTTTGCGCAGAAAGTTTCCAACATATTTTGCATGTTATGGGTAGCATTAAGAACACACTGTATGTTATAGTTAGCATTAAGAACACACTGTATGGTATGGTTAGCATTAAGAACACATTGTTTTATAGCTAGCATTAAGAACACACTGAATGTTATAGCTAGCGTTAAGAACACACTGTATGTTATGGGTAGCATTTAGAACACATTGTATGCTATGGGTAACATTAAGAACACACTGTATGTTATAGCTAGCATTAAGAACACACTGTATGTTATAGCTAGCGTTAAGAACACACTGTATGTTATGGTTAGCATTAAGAACACATTGTTTTATAGCTAGCATTAAGAACACACTGTAAGTTATGGGTAGCATTTAGAACACATTGTATGCTATGGGTAACATTAAGAACACACTGTATGTTATGGGTAGCATTAAGAACACACTGTAAGTTATGGGTAGCATTTAGAACACATTGTATGCTATGGGTAGCATTTAGAACACACCGTATGTTATGGGTAGTATTTAAAACACATTGTATGTTATGCATTGAGAACACACTGTTTGTTATGGGTAGCATTTAGAACACACCGTATGTTATGGGTAGCATTTAGAACACACCGTATGTTATGGTTAGTATTTAAAACACATTGTATGTTATGCATTGAGAACACGCTGTATGTTATGGTTAGCATTAAGACCACACTGTATGTTATGGTTAGCATTTAGAACACACTGTATGTTATGGTTAGAATGAGGAACACACTGTATGTTATCGTTAGCATTAAGAACACACTGTATGTTATGGCTAGCATTAAGAACACACTGTATGACTGTATGTTACGGGTAGCATTTAGAACACATTGAATGTTATGCATTGAGAACACACTGTTTGTTATGGGTAGCATTAAGAACACACTGTATGTTATGGTTAGCATTAAGAACACACTGTTTGTTATGGGTAGCATTAAGAACACACTGTATGTTACGGGTAGCATTTAGAACACATTGTATGTTATGCATTGAGAACACACTGTATGTTATGGTTAGCATTAAGAACACACTGTATGTTATGGGTAGCATTTAGAACACATTGTATGCTATGGGTAGCATTAAGAACACATTGAATGTTATGGTTAGCATTAAGAACACACTGTATGTTATGGTTAGCATCAAGAACACATTGTATGTTATGGGTAGCATTTAGAACACACTGTATGTTATGGTTAGCATTAAGAGCACACTGTATGTTTTGGGTAGCGTTAAGAACACACTGTATGGTATGGTTAGCATTAAGAACACACTGTATGTTATGGATAGCATTAAGAACACACTGTATGTTATGGTTAGCATTAAGAACGCACTGTATGTTATGGTTAGCATTAAGAACACACTGTATGTTATGGGTAGCATTAAGAACACATTGTATGTTATGGTTAGTATTTAGAACACACTGTATGTTATGGGTAGCATTTAGAACACACTGTATGTTATGCATTGAGAACACACTGTATGTTATGGTTAGCATTAAGAACACACTGTATGTTTTGGGTAGCGTTAAGAACACACTGTATGGTATGGTTAGCATTAAGAACACATTGTTTGGTATGGTTAGCATTAAGAACACATTGTATGGTATGGGTAGCATTTATAACACATTGTATGGTATGGTTAGCATTAAGAACACACTGTATGTTATGGGTAGCATTAAGAACACATTGTATGGTATGGGTAGCATTTAGAACACATTGTATGGTATGGTTAGCATTAAGAACACACTGTGTGTTATGGGTAGCATTAAGAACACACTGTATGTTATGGTTAGCATTAAGAACACACTGGATGTTATGGTTAGCATTAAGAACACACTGTATGTTATGGTTAGCATTATGTTATGGGTAGCATAAAGAACACATTGTATGTTATGGTTAGCATTTAGAACACATTGTATGTTATGGGTAGCATAAAGAACACATTGTATGTTATGGTTAGTATTTAGAACACACTGTATGTTATGGGTAGCATTTAGAACACACTGAATGTTATGCATTGAGAACACACTGTATGTTATGGTTAGCATTAAGAACACGCTGTATAGTATGGGGAGCTATGGGAACAAACTGTATGTTATGGTTATCATTAAGAACACACTGGATGTTATGGTTAGCATTGAGAACACATTGTATGTTATGGTTATCATTAAGAACACACTGGATGTTATGGTTAGCATTAATTATGGTTAGCATTAAGAACGCATTGTATGGTATGGTTAGCATTAAGAACACATTGTATGGTATGGTTATCATTAAGAACACACTGTATGTTATGGTTAGCATTAAGAACACACTGTATGTTATGGTTAGCATTAAGAACACACTGTATGTTATGGTTAGCATTAAGAACACACTGTATGGTATGGTTAGCATTAAGAACACACTGTATGTTATGGCTAGCATTAAGAACACACTGTATGTTATGGTTAGCATTAAGAACACATTGTATGTTATTGGTAGCATTTAAAACACACTGTATGTTATGGGTAGCATTAAGAACACACTGCATGTTATGGGTAGCATTAAGAACACACTGTATGTTATGGGTAGCATTAAGAACACACTGTATGTTATGGCTAGCATTAAGAACACACTGTATGTTATGGCTAGCATTAAGAATACACTGTATGTTATGGCTAGCATTAAGAACACATTGTATGTTATGGCTAGCATTAAGAACACATTGTATGTTATTGGTAGCATTTAGAACACACTGTATGTTATGGGTAGCATTAAGAACACACTGCATGTTATGGCTAGCATTAAGAACACATTGTATGTTATTGGTAGCATTTAGAACACACTGTATGTTATGGGTAGCATTAAGAACACACTGTATGTTATGGCTAGCATTAAGAACACACTGTATGTTATGGCTAGCATTAAGAATACATTGTATGTTATGGCTAGCATTAAGAACACACTGTATGTTATGGTTAGCATTAAGAACACACTTTATGTTATGGGTAGCATTAAGAACACACTGTATGTTATGGCTAGCATTAAGAACACATTGTATGCAATGGCTTGCATTAAGAACACACTGTATGCTATGGTTAGCATTAAGAACACACTGTATGTTATGGGTAGCATTAAGAAAACACTGTATGTTATGGTTAGCATCAAGAGCACATTGTATGTTATGGGTAGCATTTAGAACAAATTGTATGTTATGGTTAGCATTAAGAACACATTGTATGCAATGGCTTGCCTTAAGAACACACTGTATGCTATGGTTAGCATTAAGAACACACTGTATGTTATGGCTAGCATTAAGAACACACTGTATGTTATAAGTAGCATTAAGAACACACTGTATGTTTTGGGTAGCATTAAGAACACACGGTATGTTTTGGGTAGCATTTAGAACACACTGAGTAAGT